TGGTGGCTGGCCCTCCGCCTGCTGTGTGAACTTGGGGGTCACTTCCTCATCTGAAAATGGGGTGAGTGACAGCCCAGGGTCACGGGGCTGTGGGGACAGTGGGGACACACAATAAGTGCTTCATCGAAGCTGTCGGTTCCTCCTGGGGGAGCCGGACCAGGCAGAGCTACTGCAGAGCTGGAAACTGAGGCTGATGAGCGGGTGGTGGAGTGGGTGACTCGGCCCAGGAGGGACCGAGGGTCCCTTTGTCCTGGGTGGTGAGGGCTGACCCCTGCGGGCTCCCTGCCTCCCTCGTGGTGTACCCTCCCCGACTCCTGCTGAAGCCCCACCACTGGCAGCTCCCCAGCTCCTCATCACAGGTTCGACCCAAGGTCCCCGGCCGTGGGCATCTCTGTCTCTTCAGGGGTCCCCAGGCCCCACCACCATGGGGCCGGCGTGGCAGGGCGGCCTGCAGCCAGCGAGGACAGATGGACTGAGGGCGGCAGGCACAGAGCTCCCCACCTCCTGCCCTCTCTAAGCCACAGCCATTCCCTAACTCCGATTTTTCATTAAAATGGCAACGGGCTCCGAGCCGCCCAAGGTCACGGGGCTGCCAGGGGAGCTGAATGCAGGCCATTACGCTGGCCGCTAATGTCCCTGCGGCCGCGGCTCTCGCTGGCGCGATCAAGCTCCGGGGACACTCCAATTTCCGCCTGTCCCGCAGTGATCGTATCAGGGCCTGAGTGATCTCCTCGCTGGCGGGTGGCGGGAGGCAAGGGGACAGTGAGCCCGGCCACCCCGCGGCCCTCCAGCGCCAGCGTGCCTCCCTCGGGAACAAAGGACACAAGGCGGGGCTGGCGGGGCTGAGAGACCGCTGCAGGGGCCTCTCCCTCACCACTGGTGCCGAGTTCGCGCTCAGTTCACCTGCTGCAGGACACACGGTTCCTTCCATCCCCTTCTGGCTGGACGAGCCTGGGGTGGGGCGGGCTGACTGCCGAGGGGCACCGGGCCGTTTGCGGTGATGGAGTGTGCTGGGTCTCCACAGGGCGATGGTTACAGGGCCGCAAGCATTGTCAGAACTCTCAGGCGTGGGCATGGAAAGGGGTGGGCTGCGCTGTAGGCAAATTATAGCTGAACAAAAGCCAGAAAGGGTTCTTCCCACGTGTACCAGACCCAGTCGGCCCCCGGATGGTGCAGGCCGGACACGCTGCTCAGAGACCGGGACAACCAGAAAGGGCCCGTGCCGTCTGTCCCTTTGTCCCTCTGCCCCCTCTGGGCCTGCAGCGGCTGCCCCCTGTGAAGCCGGGACGGGCTCCTGGGATGAGGGTCTCCTCTCAGAGGCCTGGCCACCAGGGGGGCCCACCTCCCGCCTAGCCTCTGGCCCTCCCTGGCCGGGCCACGAGGCGCCCGCTGGGAGCCGAAGGCAGGGCTCTTCTGGGGACACGCCTTCCTCCTGCAAAAACAGCACCCTGGGGAGTGTCACCAAACAGGCAAACAAGCCAAATGCCCAGAGAGCCCGGTGCGGGACGGGGTGGAGGACGGAGCTGGCATCTCAAAGCCACTCGGCTCCTTGACTTGCTCCCCCATTCCGGTGGCCGCCTGGGGAGATGATGGGCTGATTTAGCGTTAGGCGCTCTCTTGGGGCGAGGGGCTCCCGTTTGCCCCCCCGAGCAGTAATTGAGATTATAGGGAGGCTCCTGGGAGGGGTCCACCACCACTCCCCTGAAGGCAGGCCAGCCCTCTCCCTGCCTCCGCCTCCCCCAGCTCCAGGGCTGCAGGCAGGGCCCCTGGCCGCTCCATCTCTCCCCCGCTGACAGCCCCTGCGGGAATTCTGTGCTGAAGGAAGTAGCTCCTGCCTCCCTCCCTCCCTGGGGCTCATGAACCTCCCCGGGCCTTATGTATAGCGCCCAGCTACTTACTCGGGGGCCCTGCGTCTTCAGTGGTACATTACCCCGTCGGCCAGTTAGACCGGCCACCTGTAACTCTGCTACCTCCCCCCGGAGGGGATGGGGAGACCCCACTAGCCCCCCTTGAGGAAAGGGAGGCTCTCAGGAGGGCGTATTTCTTGGCCATGCACGTTCGAGGAGCACCTCCTGTGTGCTGGCTCCGTGCAGAGGGCCCCCTGGGGAAGCGCTGGGGCCGACACATGGACACGCTCTCCTGCTGTCGGGGGAACGTGGGACAGAAGGAAGCGGCTGCACTCCTGGGCTCCTGTGCTTGGCTCTGGTGTGTCTGGGATGCGCTCACTTCAGAGATGGGAAAACTGAGGCCCGCAGATGGCAGGGCATTTACCCAGCCTGGGACCGGAGCCCAGGTCTGTGTGGTCCGCCCCCTGCCCCGGCTGCACCCCAGACCAGGTGTGTGGGCATCCGACTCGGGCCCAGGCACCAGCATTCTGTAACGCCCCCCGAGGGGTTTGATGGGCAGCCTGGACAGTGGGCTGATCTGCTCCCCCCGCCAGGCCCGGTGGCCCTCCCTTTACTGTTTGATATAAAGGTCTTAGGGGAGGATAATTCATCTCATACATAACTTTGAAAAAGAAATCAGTATAATGTCCTGACTGTGATGAAGGAGGAACTGAAGGGAAACCACGGGTAACAAGGTGACCGGCATTGTGGCGTGTGCATGCCCGGGTCTCCTCCAGCAGCAGCCGCGGGGGGTCCCCGCGCACAGGGAGGTGTGGGCCCCAGCACCTGGACATGCGTCTGTCTGGGGTGTGATTCCCCCAGAGGGTAAAGTTCCAAACAGAGCCAGGCACGTGGCCTCTAATTTATAGGCGGACGTGTCCCTGGAGAATCCAGGGCTTGCTAAGGTCACATTCAAGACACTCAGGGTTCACTTTGTAAGCATCTAGCTCACGTGGTGGACTTGAACGTCTGGTGGTGTCTTTAGAAGTTGTGTGAGACTGGGGACAGTGTGGTCGGTGGGGCTGGTCTGCACGATGGAGGGCCCTCGTTCACTGCCAAGGGCACAGCCCAGGCCTGCCAGCCACGGCCATCAGGAAAACCCAAAATAGCCCTTCCTGAACTCCCGAAACGTCCCCTGGAGGTGGAGCCACCTGGCTTTTGACCATCATGATGGATCCTGGGGACAATAAATATTCTGGGGAACAGAAGGTCCTGAACAGAAGGTGTCTTCACGTGCTTGGAGGCCTGGTGGGCCACCAGGGTGGCCAGCGGTGTCCAGAGGCCCAGAGAGCTGGCACCGGCACAGCAGAGCCGAGAGGCCGGGGCCGGGCCAGGGCGAGGAGGGCAGGACGCTCCTCGCAGGCTCCAGGAAGCTCTGGATGGAGAGAAGCACTGCCTCAATGCAATCTTCTTAAAAACCCAAATTAGTGCAGACAGCCACAGCAGACAAAACACCCGGTTCTTGAGTATGGGGGGTCCCTGCTCCTGCCATGACCCTCTGCCCCAGGCTGGACAAGGCTGGGCGGGCTCCTGCCGCGGGCGCTCACCCTGAGGGCTGTCTCCCGGGCGGAGGCGTCCATGTGCTCGGTGTGGTCCTGCGGAGCCCTCCTGTGGGTGCCGGGGCCGTCCAGACCCTTCACGACCACAGTGCCACGTGCCACGTGCCAGTCAAGGTGAGGCCTCGCTCTGGCCGCAGACCCAGAACCCAGCGGCCTTGACTGGGGTGGGGAAGGCCCAGCCCGGCGGCTGGTGGGTTTCCTGGTGGGTGGAGACTCACCGGCAGGTGCGGGGTCTTGGGTCTGGAGAGCATCTGAGCAGTCGGTCTGGGTGCCTGGTGACTCCACGTGAAAGGACACACATCTCTGAAGCCGTCACAGAACCACGCTGTGCTGGGTTGTGCTGGGCTGGGTGGTGCCGGCCCATCTTGAGGCACCGAGGCACCGAAGAGGGAGGCCCACTTGATGGGTGGGGTGCCCTGCGGGGCTCAGATGGCAGGGGTGCCATACCCAGGCCAGTGGCACCCAAGTCTGCAGGGTTTGGAGGACACTGGGCATGAATGTCTTAAAACCTCCCCAGGACTGAGGGCCAGTCAGGACGGGGTCAGCGGACCTCCGAGTCTGTGGTGACAAACACTCCCAGCGTGGACATCACCTCCGCGGCCCGCCCCTCCCCTGGGATGGCACGAGCAGCGTGGTGAGCAGGGCTGGTGCCCCTGCCCGTTCTATGGGCCTCGGGGCCCTCTGCCAGGCACTCTGGTGACCTGACAGGCCCCCAGCAAGCGAAGACGCCTTCTGTTCAGGACCTCATGTCCCCAGAACGTACACACACGCTCCCCTCCAAACGCCTTCACCAGCGTTGCTGTTCTGCCTTGGAAGGCCGCCGTCCGAGAGCGGTGGGGCCGCGGCCGTTCCAAGCACATGGACGGGCACCAGCGGTCCAGTGCCCTCACCTGTGCTGGACTTTCCAGGTGTGTGTGTCCTCCGAGCGTCCTGGGACCCCATCTTCCAGACCTGGAAGGTGAGGGGACCCCTGGCCGGGAAGGCCGAGTCAGAGCCCCACCTGGGCTGGGACCCCCTGTGTCCTCCAGGGCGAGACCTTTCTGTGCCCTTTCAACGTCACCGAGCGCCGGAGAGGGCAGCTCCTCGGCGCCGCCACCCGCTTAATCTGTCTGGCTGGACTCGCCGCCTGGTCCTCACCCTGGTTATTGCATTTCGCGCCGAGTGGCTCGGAATTCCTGGGTTATTGGCTCATTTTTCATTTTGCGTCTGTAGTAGCCAGACTTGGAAATGAAAAGGGCTGCGGGGCCTGAGCCTG